CAGTCACTCAGCCCTCAGGCCCCGCCCCCGGCGGCGCGTGTGCCTTGGCGCTGCGGAGGCGATGGAGCCGGGAGGAACCGGCGGCGTCCCGTGACGCGGGGCACAGGCCACGTGGGAGGCTCCGTGGAAAAACAAGGCGGAGAACTAGGGTGGCGGGTAGCAACGGGGAAGGTTAGGAGTTGGAACCTGTCTACACCTGCCAGTGGGGCTTTTTTTAGTGTGTGTGAGTGGGGGTGGGTCTTACCCACTAGTCGACCCCTAGAAAGAATATACCTTCCAAGAAGGCCTCCTCAGTGGTTGACTGGGTCCCAATTCATGACCATCCACCCACATGGCAATTCTGGAAGGTCAGCCGACTGAGCTGCCACCCTCCCGCAGCGGTCCTGAGCTCCGCATCCTTTTAAGAGAGCTCCTAGGATCCCAAGTCTTCCAATGGGCTAAAGAACTGCCCCAGCCAATCAGAGCTGCATAATTATATCCTCGTTTGTATCTTTAGTGACCAATCAGGCGCATGAAGCTGACCAATCCAGCGGAAATTTTGGAGTCTTCATTTGCATAAGAATAGACCAATTGGGAACATAGGTGGCACTCTGCTCTAAATAAGCCAGCTAGATTCCGTGGCTGTTTTTCCAGTTCGTGGGCTACCTGAGCCACCTAACCTGAGCCCTGCTACACCTGGGCCGGCACTGGAAATGGTGCTTTCATAAGTAGGGTGCATGTGAGAATGCTCACCCTATGGGCGCAGGGGAGTGGGGGGGAGGGACGCCACCCATACGTTGGAGTGCAAAATAGGTAACACATGCCCTAAAATTCTCATGTTTATCCCCCGCTTCCTGGTGGCAATGGAGGGGACTTTGGCTGATTACATGTAAAAAGATTGCAGTCCAGAGAATTTCTATCAGCTGGGCTGCTGGGCAAAAATCACGTAAGATGATCTCGAGCTTTCTTGGCCAAGTTGGGGTTCTTTTGAAGTCCCAACGCGTGTCTATTTATGCGCTCAGTTAGGACAAAGGAAATACCATGCTTCCCAGAAACAATGGGAAGCATTTTTTACTGCTGCCTTGAAAACTCTAAAACTGAGCGATATGCGTATTTTAAGTGACTTCTGAGGCCTCTTCCCCTCTCATCCTCTCTCTCCCGCGGGGTTTGGTTCTGAGGCCGCTCTCTCTGCTTTCCCAGCTGTCCAACTTCACTGTACACACTTGTTTTTCATCTTCGTTGTTGTTTTTTAGTGGGGGAGGCGGCATTAATTTAGAGGAAACTTAGTTTTATCCATCTTCGTTTGTTTGTGGACAAGTCCACCTGTAAAGGAGATGATCTCGTCTCTTAGAGACGATAAAGCAGGTTCTTTGATTGATTATAAATGGACTTTAAAAATAGCTTTAAAAGAATTCTCACAGCATGCAAAATTTTGGCCATGTGAGCAAAACCATAACTTGCTCCATCTGCCAGAAACATTATTTGGGTCCAATTTTTCTTTTGAGATTTGTTATTGGGCTGTCTGTATGTTTATATATGTCCATGCAAGTATGTTAGATATATTATATACCTACAGCTGAAGGTACTGCCAAAACTGAGTTGTAATTTCAAATCAGGTTGTAAAGGAGCCTTATTCGGTTGATTTAAAGCAAATGAGCATTTCTACGAATTGAAGAAATAACGGAAACTAACCCAATTGCTTTTCAAGTGCACATGATCTAGAATCAGTCTTCAGTGAATAAAAACTAGCTTAAGGTTGTTGGTTAAATTAAAACAGGCCTGTCTTTAGAGATAATGGCTAATTGCTTTTTAAGGTCTTGTGAAACATTCAGGAAGTAATCTAAAATCGTTACAAGCGACGGTTTAACTAAAGATAAATGCGACAAGAGTTTCAAGGTGAAATTGTGGCAGTTTCCAAACTCCTTTGGTCACTGAAAACCATAAAGTCTGCCTTTAAGACCCAGACGCTTATGACAAAGCCTGGTGCTTGAAAATGATCGCGTGTGGAGGATAAGAGATGTGAGCTTGGTAAAAGGTATGGAAGTACATTCCTCTGACAGAAAAGTCATTTAGTTCTGGAGTAAAATGATTGTTCCATCATTTCCATAAGGAAGGAAAAGGGGCAAAAGCTGAAGGTTTATGAAAGTTGGAAAAAGTTTATGGAAAAGGAATCTTAAATCTTCTAAGTGGTCAGGCTGGCTAGGATAGAAGGGGTTATTTAAGTTAAACAAACTATACAGAATTGAGATATGGCTTTCTCTCCCTCTTAAAAGACACAAGTTTTCCTATACTATTGATATATTCTTCATAAGAAATCATAAAAGGAAACAGAGTCTATTAAAATGGCTTCCTGCGCTCTTCGCCATCGGGTCTATGACGGTTTAGGTAAACCAAACCTAAAAGAGCTGTTTGCTTCCCACCACTTAACCCCCTGTACTTGCCTGCGAAGGCTTTCGTCGTCACCATGAGGACATGAAGAACCAAAGGTAAGGGATCTCTCAGTACAAAAGGGGGAAACCCAGCTAAGTAGGCCTATTGGATGTGCTAGAATTGGAGGTGTGGAAGGTGGATTTATCCAGTCGCCTCTTCTCAAGGACAGAAATCTCTATTAGTGATGGTGTGTATGAATTTCTGTGTCAAAGGGCTGCAGCAGGTACTAAAATCCTCCTAGAAAGGATTTTTCCAAACGGGGGAATTTACAGTGAGCTCCACGGCCACCGGAGAACCCCCTTCGCAGCACTGATCCTACAAGAGGTGTGTCAAAATCTGCCTTTCCACTGCACTATCCTCATTCCTGTGGCCTGTGCAGTGGATGATGGGTGATGAAGTCAGCTGGCGAAACTTGTGGAATCTCTTCACTTGCGTCGACCTAGACCTAAAGCCCTCCTGTCGGTATCACTTGGCCCAAGGTCTGGTCCCTTTGCTAAACACCGATCGTCCCCTTCTGAAATAATTACAGGTACCTGAGCCGCGCAGTTGAAAGGCTCTTGGATTCTTGCGTCTCCTTTAGAAAGGCTCCGGGGCTAGCACCTCTCACCCAATGGGACCTTCCGGCCTGTAGGAGACCACAAGTTCAAGGCGTCCAGAGCCATCGCTTCCCCAGGTCCGGTACCGCCGGCCCTGTCCACTCCTGCTTTGCATCGCCCCGTTTAGTTCGTGCTTGTCGTGTTCCCGGGTGTGTTAGCGATCTGAATTCTCATGACAAGTGCGTCACCTCCCCTGCATTTTAGGTTGTACATTCCAGTAATTCCATACATATCATTAACCGTGGACCACATAGGACTTCCTGATTTTTGTTATCTTAACCCCGTGAATGGGAAAGCCACCCAACTTCGCTAGTGGTGTCACCAACTCCTCCTCCTGAGAGTGATCGGGTCAGGGTACAAAAGGGGGCCCACCTCCGCCCTGTGTCCTCTTCAACCCACGCCCTCCCCCGGGTAGCGCCCCACCACCTCCTACAAGAGAGCTAGCCACCCCTCCCGGTGTCACCTTCTTGTATCTTTGACACCTTAAATCTGGCCACACCTGCTTCAGCCCTGGCTGTGGAGACCCCTCGGGAAAGCCACCGTGGCAGGAAGCCGTCCTACCCGGCACAGTCCCGCCTCTCCGCCATTGAAACTGACATCCCAGTAGGATGCCCGCCACCCAGTGGGGAACGTTACTACGTCGCAGCCTCGCGCTTCCCACGTGCATCTGCCCTTGTTTCTGACCCGTCGATGAGGCCACTTGTGTGTCCTCATAGGAGGAAACGCTGCTAGTTGGTGAGAAGCGCTCGGCCTCCCCTTAGCTGCCTCCTGACGCTGGAAGCTACACGGACGTCTGATCCGTGTTCTGAGTGGAAAGAACCTGGACGTCAGTCGAGGCGAGACAGCAACACGGGAAAGCGAGAAGCGACGGTGAAACCGCGCTAAGCGAGCTTGGTGTTTGCGAGCACGTGTTGTGTCCCCCCCCCTGCCCCCCACCAATGCCTTAAACTGAAAAGGGCAACTTCAAGTACGAGACAGATCGTCCTTCACCTTTCGGCGGGGCGCACTCCACCAGCTTCAGGCCAGCTCGTCCGGTCTGGGGTGGACCCCACCCTGCCAGCTCCTTAGCTTCCACCCCAGGCCAGTCGTTTTAAAAAACTGAAATGCATTTTACGTGATATCAGAGATTAAGCCCGACACCTTAAGCATGTTAGTATGGATGTGGATGTCATGTGACATAATCCCTAAGTTAATGGTCCTTAAGCCTTATTCGAGATGGACTGTCCTGAGGCAGAAAGGAAGAACCCTTTTGCAGGTGTCACCCAAGGGTACTCACGCCCAGGCTCCTAGGAACTGCAGGGGACACGAGACCTGCCTCTAGATGCGACCTTTTCACTTGAGATCAAACTGACCTGACAATGATCGCGTGTGTCACAGGCAAAAATATCTTCTCTCACTCAGGAGGCTTTTCCATTGTCGCTTTTCCTCACTGGGGGAGAACTTTTCGGTTTGACGTAGGCCCGTTCATTGCCTTTGCTTCGCTCGCCCGAGGGAAATCTCCACAGAAACTAAGAACGATGGCAGAGTCCACTGCTGTGTTTTCTTCTAGTTTTATGGTTTCGGGTCTTACGTCGAAGTCTTTCGACCCTGTTGAGTTTTTGAAGCGGCCCGGTCTCACGCCTTCACCGTCTGTCCAGGCCCCAGCCCTGCGTCAGAGCCTGTCCTCACCCCGCTCGCTGTCCCTCGCCTCCCGTGGAGGCGGAATGGACCACATGGCGAGGGCTTGTCTCTGGGCTGTTCTGGTCACCGAGGTGTCTGTCCGCCGGCCACTGTGGCTTCAGAGGAGTTTGATGTCGGGGCGTGATGCTCCCCCTTCGCTCTTCCTCAGAATGCCTTTGTCTGGTCAGGGTCTTTGGGGTTTCCATGTGAATTTTAGGATTAGTGGTTCTGATTCTGTGTGCACACCTAGGTTGCCCTTTGCGACGGCCCACCTCTGGCTGGCATTCTAAGTGGCCTGCAGGTGTCTCCACCCGCCTCGGTCACACGTAGAGCCCCACATGGTGGAAAGTGGACGGCAGAGTTGGCTTATTTTTCATCTCGCTCATGCATTCTCAGGCCCACGTGGCCCCAATACTTTGTTCTGCCCCCCAAATTCCCGAGTTCTCTGCTCAGGGCTGCGGAGCCCTCTGACCGTCTGGGTGAATCGTTTATCGGGCAGATTACTCCTCTTTTTCTTACAGTTTTTTCCTGGAGATTATTCTTGTTCATCTGAGATAGGTATTTTGTCCCTTCATTTCAACTTTGCACGTTTGTTTACGTGAATTAAACGAAAGAGCCGTCTCCCCCGCCCACCCCATTCTGGAAAAGCGGCCTGTGGGGGCTGCAGCGGGAGGGGACACATGGGTCCGGAGGGGCCGGTATGGGTAGCGGGGCCGTGACCCTACCCACTCTCTTTGTCCAGGCCAAAATGGGCTCCGGCCCTGTGCACGGGGTGCAGCAGCCTGGCAGAGGCCAGAGCCCCTGGTGGAGCCCACCGCCCAAGGGTTCCCGCAGCCAGGGCACGAACGTGCTGTGTGTCCTGGCAGGCAGGGCATGGACGGTGGCCCCTGGCTGTCGTCCTGCTGGAAGGGACCCACAGCTTGGCGTCGGGACGAGGGCAGAGGCAGAACGTAAAGGCAAACGTTTATTAGAGTGTTGTACAAAAAGTTTCCAGTCAGAAAACGTTACAAACCACAGGAGAGAGAAGACCGCACGTCTGGCATGCACCTCAGAAGCCACTGCCGCCGCCGCAGGGCCCAGGCCACCACGTGGGGTGGACGCGCGGGCATGAGGCAGGCCGGCCGTGTAGATGTCGCCTGCTGGCCACCCTAGCAGAACTGCTTGTCTCCGGCAGAAACCCAGTCAGTGCCCTGGCGTGCCACCCCCACCTCAGGCCACCTGGGCTCTTCGCCAAGAGGGCTACTGGGCTGTTGTGTCACAGGGGGCGCCCAGGCAGGGGGGCCACTTCCACGTCATCCCAAGTGGCTCAGAGCCAGGCTTGAGGCCACCTGCAGTTTCCCGGGCCACAGCCAGCAACTTCACGCTGGATTCCGCTGTTGTCAAATGCTGGCGTCCCTACAAGCGCCACCCACTGCCTGCGGGGAGGGGTCCTCTCCCTCTGTGCGTCCATGAGCCCAGCCCAGCCCAGCAAGGCTGTTTCAGCCAACCAGACCCAAATTCCAGGACACAGCTCGGAACCCCCGTTCAGTGCCCCATGTGTCCGGGGTCCGAGACCCCCCTCCCGGAGTTGCATCTCCTGCTCTCCAGACTGTCACTGTCCACCTGGTTCCTGCTGTAGGGGTAGGGACAGCCCTCAGCCCCAGGGGCCCTGGCACCGGTCCTGGGAAAGGTCACAAGCGGGGTACAGGTGCTGTATTGCCAGGGCAGGCACACTCCCTGAGGCCCACCAGAACCTTCCGTGAAGTCATTGCAGGAACACTCCCACCCCCAACTGGGAACAGGGCGGCCTCGGGCAGGACGCAGGCCGTATAGCCAGGCTGCGGGTCAGCACCAGACACAGCAACCTGCTGCCACCAGCCACCTCTCTCCTGGCCTGCGGCTCAGGCCCGAGCCCCCCCCCTAGCCCTCAGCCCCAGGGGCCCTGGCACCGGTCCTGGGAAAGGTCACAAGCGGGGTACAGGTGCTGTATTGCCAGGGCAGGCACACTCCCTGAGGCCCACCAGAACCTTCCGTGAAGTCATTGCAGGAACACTCCCACCCCCAACTGGGAACAGGGCGGCCTCGGGCAGGACGCAGGCCGTATAGCCAGGCTGCGGGTCAGCACCAGACACAGCAACCTGCTGCCACCAGCCACCTCTCTCCTGGCCTGCGGCTCAGGCCCGAGCCCCACCCCTCCTCGCCATAAGCGATGCCCAAAGGAAGCCAGGCCCAGGGACATGGCCAGGCCAGGCTGGGGCACTGCTCCTGGCGGCCAAGGGGCCAGCCCGCCACCATGGCTCGGTGCTGCATCTTTAAAGACTCGAGCTGCACTTTTCGAAGGAGTTTGCCGTCCAGGGGCTCAGACCTCACTGAGACAGGTCCCCTAACCCCCCCCCCACCCCCCAGGGGACTGTCCCGTGACCCTGCCCTGAGCCACTGAAGCAGAATCAGCAATCTGAGTACTGACCAATGTAAAAAAATAAATATCCATTAAAAAAATAACTTCTGTGTATGTAGGTGGGGGATGTAAACGGGAAGCTAATGCAGAGAGGGGGTTGCCGGACGGCCAGAAGCTGGCCTGTGACGTGGAGCCACCATGAAGGGCTGGGCTGGCAGTGGTCTCAGTGACGTCGTTTCAGCAAGCGAGGCTGGCACATACACGCAGGAGAGCGCGGGAGAGGGCGGGAGGCTGGCTCGCGGGCGGGGCGGGGCGGTCCACTGGCTCACCCCGGAGTCAGGGTCCCGACAGAGGGCAGGAAGTGGCCGTCACACCTGCACTGTTCTGAAACCTGGGGCATCTGCTGCCGAGCTTGTCCCACTTGTCCCCTGTTAACCTGGTGACAAGTCTTTGATGGGAAGTGTCCCTGTCCCCAGATTTCCTTTTCTCCTGTCCTGCTGGTCTTACTCCAGACACGGAAGGGTCAGGCAGCCAGAAGGGGAACAAGGCCCCGCCCCCCCATGGCACCCCAGTTTGCACAGACAGACACACCCCATGACTCCCAAGCGCTCCGTCACCGCGTTCCAGGCTGCAGTGGGCTGGGCCACCGACTCCACGGGGACGCCCCTGCCACCAGGCAGGACCCTGGGTTCTGAATTTGGTTTTTAAAAGCTCAACACAAATGACAACTACAGAATCCTTACGGCTCCTCCGTCTACCCCCAGGCCCGTGGGGCACCCCAGCCGGCCCAGCCCGCCTGCGTGGACGTGCGGGCAGCGGACGCCCCTCCGGCCTCGAATTCAACCAAAAGTGGCAACAGGCACCGGAAAAGTCTGGACTAGGTGAAGGGAGAGTCCACGGAAACCCACCAACAGGACAGAGCGACAGACCCACCCCCACGTCTGGCAGTTAGCTTAAAAATTCTCTAGAAATGCATCAAGGATTAAAGAAAGCCAATGATATAAAAATAGTTTCAGTGGCTCTGGGTGAAGGAAGCGTAGAGCGGTCCGCTCCGCTCACATCACGCGGCAGCCTCGTGAGGTGGTCCTCGGGTCCCCCTGGGAGGAAGGAAGGGTGGCAGCAGTTAGGGGGACCGAGGGGCCAGGCGCGTGGCCACCCGGCTATGCAGGCGGCCCGCAGTCCCCACCCCGCCAGGGAGGGGCTGGCTCTGGCCCGGGGCCTCCGACAACACCCTCAGAAGACAGCCCCCAACAGGATGACAGCCTCGACTATCCCTGTTCCAGAACCTTCCACGTCTCCTATAGCTGTTTTGAGCTACATGACACGTCACAATTTTACGTTTCATACCATCTACCTAGCCAGGTGGCCCTGGGCTCTCCGCCTTCTCCCCAGACACCAGTGTTTACGTCCTGTCTCCCAGACAAGGGACAGCGGCACCGGAGAGTGCTCACCGAGACCCCGGGGCAGGGCGCCACCAATGAGGCTCGACTTTCAACACCTGCCTCCCGGGGTCCCCTGGACACCGCCCGAGGCCCACACCAGCCAGACCCGAGGCGCGGCAAGCTGCCCCACGGCGTCCCCGGCTGTGGGGCCCAGCAGCTGAGGGGTGCGCACGCATGTGCCCCCCGGGGCCCCGCGCACCTGCTGGTGGAAAAGGTCCTCCTCGCCAAAGTCGGCCCCCTCCTCTTCGCCCTCCTCGCCGTTCTCGGCCTCCCGCAGCACCGCGGACTGCTTCACGGTCCGGATGGCCACTTCCTGCGTGAGGCAAGCGCCACGGCCGCTCAACCGCCAGGCACCGTGGCAGTGGCAGTCGGCACGCTCGCACAGGGTGTCGCCACGCTGCAGAGCGCTGTCTGGGGACAGGCCCCGGCACCCACCTCCCCGTCAGCGTTGACCAGGACGGTCCGGAAGCTCTCGCCCGTGCCCCAGCTGCGCTGGCTCTTCCACACGAGCGTCGACGGGGGGCTGTGGGCCACGCCCGCGCCAGCTGCCCACACCTGGGGACAGAGGAGGGCCTCCTACTCAATGACGGCTCTGGTCCCGGGGACAGAGGCCACCAGCCGGTCCCTTATCACAACCCTTCGATGCCCTGGGAGTTGCCACCTTGCAGCCCCACTGGTGCTGTCCAGGATGACAGTCACCAGGGCATGGAAGAATAAACTTAGGTTCACAGTGGCCAAGACGCTCTTGACAAATGGGCAGAGCTGGCATCTGAAGCCCGTCAGCTCCAGGGTCCGTGCCCATGACCGTGACATCTCTTACCAACGCCGCCGGCCCAGACAGTCTGGACTCAGACCGCCCCCACCGTGGGGCCCTGGCATGTCACTCTGGCACTCCAAAGTGTTCCAGGGAAGGCTCGGTGGGGCAATGCTGACACACAGATGACGTGACAGCAGGCAGCTGCTCCCAGAGCTATGCGCCCCTCACCACCCCAGCCCCCAAGCCATGCCCTGCTTCCCAGGACCCACCCCACGTCCCACCACCCGTGTGGCTGCTCTTGCGCCCTCCACCCCGCGTCAGCCCGCCTACAGCCACCTACCGTGACGGTCTGGCCAGCGCGCAGCACGTACTTGGGCGTGAACTTGTAGGCAATCTCCTCCCCTTCTAGGATCTGCCTCTTGATCCTCCAGTTCCCCAGAGACTGGTCCTGGAGAAGGGACGCACCTGACGCACAGCCCCGGGGGACCCACCCAGCTCCTGCTCCCGCCCCCACCGGGCCAGCCCCTCACCTTGTCTGAGCTGTTCTTCAGCTGCACAAACCTGCCCTCCAGGTCGATCTCCTCGATGCTGACGCTCCCCGAGGCCGAGGCCTGCTGGGCCAGTTGGAAGGTGCCGCCACCGCCCGAGCCCATGCGGCTGGAGCCCATGCCCAGCGGCTCCTCGGCCTCCAGCCGCCTGCGCTTGCTGCGGCCAGAGCGCCCCGCTGTGGACATACTGCCGCCGCTGCTCGAAGTGGCCCGCGAGATGGTGACCCGTGACGACGGGCTGGGGGACAGCTTCAGCCTGGGGGACGAGGCATGTGGTGACTGGCAGTGGGAGCCGGGGGCCGGCCAGGACAGCCCGGACAGTGCGAAGTGGGCGCCTGGCCCCCAGCCCCTCCCACCCTCCCCCAGCTACAGCCCCCACCTCTCCTCCTCGCCCTCCAGCAGCTTGCGGTAGGCGCTGATCTCCATGTCCAACGCCAGCTTGATGTCCAGCAGCTCTTGGTACTCAGCCAGCTGCTGCTGCATCACGTCCCGCATCTCCGTCATCTCCCGCTCCTTGGCGTCCAGCATCTTCCGGAACTTGTCGCGCTCCCCGGCCATGGCCTCCTCCAGCTCGCGGGCCCGTTCCTCGGCTGCGCTAGCCTGGGGAGGGGCCCGAGGGCCAGGTCAGGGGTGCTGGGTCCCACGACTGCTGGCTTCCGGGCCCAGAGCTGGGGGAGGGGGTGGCGGCTGCCAGGCGTCACCTGCTTCTGCAGGCCGGAGAGCTGGTAGCTGAGGGACTCGACCCGCATGCGCGCCTCCTTCAGCTCCTCGCGGGCGGCGCTGGCGGCCTTGTCGTTCTGGTCGGAGCTCAGCTTGGCATGGTCCAGCTGCAGCGAGGGGTGGCGAGGGGCGGTGAGGGGCGGTGAGGGCCGGCGGGGGCAGGGCCGGGAGGGCCGGGAGGGGCTGCCCCGCCCCCACGCGCACCTTGGCCTGGTAGGTCTGCTCCAGCTCCAGCCGGTACAGCCGCACTTGCTCGTCGTGCTGGCTGCGCAGCTCCTCCAGCGCCTGCGCCATCCTGAGGTCGTGCTCCTGCTGCCGGCTGCTGTCCACCTCCACCAGGCGCCGCTCGTGCCGCCGCCGTGTCTCCCGCACCTCCTGGGGACGAGCAGTGACCTGCAGTGACCCGCCGCGCCCGCCTCGACACAAGAGCCCGGGGCGAGCGACGGCTCAAAACTGTGCCAACCGAGGAACCTCTGGGGGTCACCCTGGTCACTTGTTCACGAACCGTCAACGGATACACGTGTCACAATCACCAGGGAGGTCACAGCCCTGGTGTCCGCCAGCAGGCGCCTGTCCACACGGGGCAGTGTCACTAGCCATGAAAGGGGGTGCTGACACTCGCCACGACGTGAACATATGACGCTCAGTGACAGAAGCCAGGTGGTGTGTGATTCTGATGACGTGAACCGCCCAGAACAGGCACATCCAGAGAGAGGGAGTGGGGGGAGGGGTGGCGGCCAATGGTTTGGGTTTCTTTCTGGGGTGACGGTCGCTCACTCTGTGACTTGCTATAAAGCTCTGTTACCTCACGCACTGTGAAAGCTTCAAGGTGTGAGACTGTTTCAATAAAGCGATCACTTAAAAGAAAAGCTCGTGGCCAAACCCATCCCAGGTGCCTGGCTGTTGGGACAGCTGCGCGACCAGAAGTGGGCAGCTGAGAAAATTGACCACAGGACACCCAGGCCACGGGTGCCGCGAGCTCACGGAGGGCAGGGCCCCGCCCCCATCACGCCGCCTCAGAACCCGGCTGTTGTCGCTGTGCCACTGGTTCGTGAGACCAGGAGTGCTTCTCGAGGAAGCCGGTCACGCTCACAGGGAGCGGGTGGCCCGTGACCCACCTTCCCTGCGCCCTGCCAGGCTGTCTCCACCGTCTTCGTCACGGCCCACCTCCAGGAGCTCGTCACAGCCCACCTTGGGGACCCCCTCCTGCCCCTCATGGGTGCCTTGCTGGCACCCCATGCGGGCCTCTTCATCAGTCCCCTGACAGATGTGGCTGCCCTCACAAGTCCCCACTCAGCTGCCCTCCCGGCACCCCCCCCAGCTCCCCTGGGGGCCCTGGGGGTCACGGGGCCTGGCTGGAGCCGCAGACCACTCCTCAGCTGCATGGGCACCGTCCTGCCAGCAGCTCCCCCAGGAGTGACCGCAGGGACTGGCCTGGCCCCGGGGTTCTATTCCGGGCTGTGACAGCACAGTGGGCTCTGTGATGATGACAGGGGAGGGTCCTCATGCAAGCCCCTCCCAGAGGGCACAAGATCTCAGCTCAACCTGTAGGGACCTCAGCCTCTGCCAGCCAGGCCCAGGTGAGCCAAGGAGCCGAGGCCCAGGGATTAGGCGGTCAGGGGAGGGGGCCCAGCCCCAGGAGCAGAGAGAAGCGCACAGCACCCTGCTCCCATGACAAGAAGGACCGCATGGTGGCCCCATGGAGGTATGTCCATCGTCCTACTCCCCAGGACCTGGTGGGACCGTGGGACCTTATTGGAAAAAGGGACTTTGCAGATGTGATTAAGTTAATTTTAAGATGAGTCCATTCTGGATTATCCAGGTGGGCCCCACTCTCAGTGAAAACTGTCCACGTTAAGAGACAGAAAAAAGACACCAGCACTATGGCAGAGAAGACCCCTTCGCTTCCCCCTAAACATTATGAGCCCGACAGCTGTCACTCAAAGGACCCTGCTCAGCACACAAACACGTCTGAGATTTGAGCAGGGGACCTCTGAGGTGGCGCACAGAATGAGCAGGGGAGGCGGGACGGGGAGGGACAGACACGGGCCATAGACGCGGTCTGGTGCCGGGCGGCCCCACTGGCCCAGGGGCACTGCAGGAGTCAGGCAGCAGGCCGGGGGCGGGAGGGGCAGAAGCCACATTCCGGGGTGGCCGGTTCTCAGTGTGGCTAAACCCAGTGACAGGGCGGAAACGCTGCACGGCTGGGTGGCAGCCACGGACTACGGGGCCCCTGCTACCAGCAAGGAAGCAAAGAGCAGACTGGCGACCTCCCCACCACCACCGCGGCCGATCCAGGGAGGGGGCGCCCGGGAGGGGCAGCGGAGAGGCAGGGGACAGCGCAGCTGGCGGCCACTGGCTACAAGGAGGCAGCACCGGTCGCCCCACGGCACCACGGGGGTGGAGCCCTGAGACCTGGACATGGGGGGCGGGGACGCCCACCACCTCGGGGAACATGGGGCGCTTTCCACGACGGGCCACACCGCCCCCCCATCCATCCTGCAGGTGAGAAACCGCGCTCTAGCTCCACCTGCTGGAAGCAAAAGAGACGTCTGCTTATCAACCTATGAGACCATAGCGCAAACCAGCGCCTAACAGGTGTCAGGTGCTTGGGGAGAGAAACACCCATCAGGCACCGGCAACAACCGCGGCCACCCCCCTCCCT